GAATAGGCAAGGTTGAGCGTGGGCAGGGGGTCATTACCCTAAAATTCCAGCCTCCTAGACTCCGTGGTTTCTGAGATAAGAATCAACCCGTAAAAACTTTCACGGGGCCATACGTATTACCCGCGGTACGAGGAAGCTGAATTTAAATTTGCGGGGTCACACGTGGGTGGCGAACTTTCCCCTAAATTTTCAGCTTCCTAGCTTTTGTGGTTTCCGAGTTGAAAGTTGCGGACAATTTGCTGCGGACACACACACACATAGACAACTCCGTGACAATATGCGTTTTGTTTTGCTGTTATACAGCAAAAAACGCATAATAAAGCTTATGACATAGTTTCTATCCCTCAGTATAAATAGTGGCCTAATTGCTGAGGAATGCTGGTAACTGCATGTATAATAACTCAGTGAGGGAAAAAACAGGCATTCTAAACATGGATTTCATTCTAAGGGAAAAAAATTTTACCCAAAAACGAAGAAATCAGGAAATTCGTGGCATCGTTACGTGCTTAATAAAAACCAGTCCTCCTCTATCTTCACACATGTCGTTTTCTCATCTTCTTTTTTGTCTCCTCACTGCTCTAGTTCAACACCACTTGACACATGCTCATCATACACATGGTGGTTAGAAGGCTGTACTGTTGATTCCCACTCCTAACCGGATTACACGGCAAGTAGGAGGCTGTACTGTTGATTTGCATTCTTGCCCGGATTCTGCATCCGGTTAGTGTTTACAGCTAAGGGATGAAACAAAGGCTGCTGTATCCAGGGATGCCCTTACATGTACATGAAAGACCGATCCCTCATATCTCTTACGCTGTTATTTCACCATTGACCAACGGCCTATGAAGCCAGAAATTAGAGATGACCAAAATAGCTTCGACTTCCCGCTGTTGCTTATATCGATGGCAGAAAAACAGGATCTTCAGACTCAATGACCAGTGTTATCCGGAGGGTTTTGACCAGTGGCTAGCGATGTTGGGAATGGAAGGGAAGACCACGAAAACACGAAGTGAAAGAGATAGTGAAAAGCATATGTTGCAAAAAAAGTGTTCAGGAGATGTAATGAGGAGCTGTAGGAAGGCTAAATATGTAAACTTGGCTGTCTGTGTTTCATCCCTAAGCTGCAAAAACAGACAGTATTCGGTGTGAATTGGGTTGGGAAATTGCCGAGATGCACACGGGCCAACCGACCGAATTCACTTACTGTGTGCGGGCAATCACGCTGTTGCACCAGTCCGTCATATTCCCAGCCAAAGTAGAGGAACATCAGTGCGATGCGGTGTTTTGGATAACGCGAGAAGTCGAACTCACGATGCTTCCTCTTCCTCTTCGTTGCCGTTCCTGGATCAATGCCGGTTTCTTCCATTGCTGAAAATGCGGTAAAATGCCGTGCCGAATACAAGTCCTC